TTAGATAGTTATGCATAGTGGTTGAGTTGCAAGTAAACATTTTTAAAGTGTAAATTAGTTCAATGTTAGCAAAGTTGAAGCGAAATAAATGAAAAGTCACGCAGACTAACGTATAAACCTCGACATGAAGATAAGTAGATACACGAAGAATTTGATTAATCGTGTTCTCTCAAATAACTAAATAGGTATTTATAACCATCGACACCAATTCATTCCAATGCATCCTTGATAGGACCATTTTTGTAAATCATCATAACTAGTTACAAGAGAAGTCGAAATCTGATAATGAAAATACACTTCCGAACTCAAACACTTCGGTATCAAATCAATGTGGGAGCTTCTTCTATTTCATCATAATATTCATATTAAGGGTCTGTTTGGTAGGAATTCTCATTTTCTACAGTAAATTAATTTTAATTTTCAAAGACACATTCTTCAATAAAATAATATTTTCCATCACATCAATAATTTTTTTTTCTTTTTCAACCACACATTTCCCATCATATCACTATTCAAAATCAATTCTTCCCCCAAAAAATCCCTACCAAACAAGCTCTAATTTGATATTAGTGCCCACCCAAATATTAGGTGATTAAGCGATCGCTTAATTCCTCAATTTATATAAAATCCCAACTTCTCAAAATTTACGTAAAAAATATTGTTGGCGAATGACAACATTAAAAATAATTAAAGATTAAGAAAAGATTTTTGGTTAACAGTACTAAAAACATAAATATTTCAACAAATAATATAAAAACTAAATATTAACAAAAAATTGTCAGACAAAATAAAAGTTAAAAGAATAACTTCAAGTCTATAATATTATAATTTAAAAAATTTAAATTATTGCAATATCTTATGAAATATCAAAATTTTAAAAAGAATAAAATTTTGTGATTGACGCAGAAAAAAATCGCTGTGACGGAAGCACCGTCGAAGATGGAATATATTCATTTTCAACACATTTTTTGAATTTACCATAAAAAAATACCTTATAGAATACATTAAGAAGTCGAAATTATGAAACTTAACTCGCAGCAACGTTCCCATACAAGTATTATTGAAGGTTATACCACAAATAATTCAACACTAACATTCTATAAGCACATAAAAATAATATATTGATGGTTATACCACAAATAATTCAAAACTAACATTCTATAAGCACATAAAAATATTTGACTTTCAAGAAAAAATAGAGTGATATTTAGTAATTTTATTATTTACAAGCAATCATTATATCTAATATTTTATTTTATTTTTGGAAATGTCAATCTTATGGCATGAATTGATTTAGTCACGTTTGACATTTATTTACTTATTTTGAAGTAATAAAAATGTCTATAAATGTCGATATCATAGTATTAAAATAATTAAATTTAGTCATTCCAATTAATTAATAGACCTTTGTAATTTTTGTACAACTAATTTTATTATAAATTTTATTTTTATTAAAACCTAATAGTCAAAATCATATCTTCAATTATAAATTGTGTGCAAAATGTCAACTATTTATATTGGTTGAGTGCAAAATAGATCAAAGTTCGAAAATTAATAGAATAAAATTAGTATTTATTAAATCAAAATATATTTATATAAATGTCATTCTGGACTTGTGCCATTTGTACCTTTAGTGGGTATGTGCACAGAATTCTGGACTTTTGCCATTTGTACGATCTAACCGTCTCCAGAGTGCCGTTTACCATGTTATTCGGTTTTTACCAAGATCAAGTCTAAGACAAGCAGAAATGACGTGTTTAATCGCTTGAACAGTAACAATGAAAATGAAATTGTCTTTAGTGAGATTATATGAACGAATGCTCGAACCAATATATGAGCCTATACAGCTACGAGGGATGTTGGGTACGAATTCTTACAGTACGTTTGAAAAGTCGATAAGGTAATTATTTTCGAGGATGTCTCTTTCCCGAGTTGTCCACCTAAACCTATAGCCATTAAAGATGCTATAACAAAATGATGTAAGAAATAACTTGAGGTATCTAAGAAAATAGATTTAGAACTCAACTAGCAAATTGGTATGACTGTCCATCATAAATTTCATCTTGGACGCCATGTATTTATTTTATCCCTTTTAATTAATGGTTCTAAATTCCTTTTCTTTCTCGTTTCATTGACTCGCCAAAATTAAATGTTGAAAAGTCAATAATCGAAAGAATTTGTGGTAAATAAAATTAAATAAATAAATAAAAATAAAGTTTTCTAGCGGATCAAAGCCAATTTTAAGAGTGAAAATTAAGAGTAAATTTACCGGTTTTGAGACTAGTTTAGTGACTCCTAAATTGAAGTGCATTATATTACTTGACTAGTCCAGTCCAATTCTTTTAAGGTTAATTGGAAAGAGGATTTTTTTTTTTTTTTGGGAGCAAACCCAACAATCGAGTCTAAGGCTCTTTTTGCATATGGATGCTGCTTTGCTTCATACTCAACGATGACTTGTTTCACCATTAAGAATCACCCTTGCTTAATATGGCCGGATCACATGCTCATTATTGCAGCTAGTTCTAATCTGATAAGCAATGTTTCAAACTCAAGTTACTCAACTACGTTGTTCATGCATGAAAAATTAATTCGATATGAATGGCGAGAAACCAGACCATTCACTCAAAGAGAAAAGAACAACACCTGCTCCCGCTACTATATAGAAAAATCAACCACAAAGCAGATTTCTCTTTTATCTGAGTAAGGCACCCATTCGAATGAAATCCTTTGAGTGAAGGTTAAAATTGTATCATAAGAATATGTTTGATAGTTGATACGAAGTCCTTTCATGCTTACCAACAATCCATTACTTTTCAACTTAACACACTTATGTTTGAGACCATTGTCAATTATTCTACGAAAAACACAATCAATGTTGACTTTTAGGATAATGAACATTCCCAATATACACTTCAACTAATTGGTGGGAGGAAATTCTAAAGTTAAAGGAATGAGAGTGCTATTTTTGAAAATTGATTTTAAAAAATGAGGATTGTTTGGACTTTTTGGGTTTCAGCGTTTCTGTAAGAATTGATTGTATGACAAATATTCTTTGCACTTTGTAATTTTATAATATTTAATGTACCTTTAAAAATTGAGAAATCTGATTTTAATGGGGGCCAAACAAGGGCTAAATATAAATTAAGACATTGTTAACTTCCTAGTTCGAAATGGAACCACGACGAAAACAAGATTAGAAGGTGTTAACATACAGAGATTTCATTCTGATCTATACAATGGATTCAAAAATTGTTCTGCAAGTTTTCTTTCCTTATTTACAGTATGGCTTACATCGCCTCTAACAACAGCAGTCCTCCCAACAAGTGCAGGTAAAACATTTGCTTATACTCCATAGTACACCTGATAAAATCAGAAGAAATTTGTTTGTACTTGTTAATCCTGCAAGCTCAAACCATGCATACCGAAAATAGGTACAGTAAAGCATGAATCATGCAAATTTTCCACGACTGAAGGTAAGAAATCTTCCGTATTGGAAAAGGAGCAGGAATGAGATTTGTATTAGTTCCACATCCCCCCATTTGAAATTGCTGGGAACCGTGCAAGGCGAGCAAGAAGGGGAAGGAGAAGGGGAAGGGGCGGTGAAGGCTTTTTCTAATTATGCTACAATTGACCTTTTCGTCAAAAGAAGCCCTTTTCTGGCCATAATGAGATGACAACGGATAAAGCAAACCAATGGAACATCGGCTGTTAATGTACATTCAAAAATTTAACAACTCAGACTAGAGCCCTATCTTCGTAACAAAGATGATTATCATTGATATAGACTATGCGCTCCCCCGGTAAGAAAACAAAAATTAAGAATTGTTTATGATACCTTAATTACTCTATCTGATTGTCCCACAAACAGTTTCTCTTGCCAGTATATCACCGCCGTTATGACAGAATCACAAGCAATGGAACCAACAGGCACCGTATCAATTTGATCCCCAACTTCAGATATTTCCTGCAAATAGCATGTTTGGGCTAAGCTTAATAAAAGCAAACTTATGTTTAGGTAATTTTTGTTTTCAAATATGTTTCAATGTTACTTTTTACTTCGTCCAAAAAAAAAAAAATGTAACTTACCTATTTCCAACTTTGATTATATAAATAATTTACTTACAAGCTAGCTTAAAAAAGCTTAACCAGAGATTAGAAATTAACGCTGAATGGTGGCAGCTGATTTCGTATTGCACTTATGTACCTGCACATTAATAGTCTTGTCCCAGCCACCAGTAAAAAGCCATCTCCCCTTCTTGCTGGCGGCGAACACGGCACCATTGTGGGTTTGTAATGATTTCACGAGTAGGTCGTTGTGCCACATCTGAAAATATTGACACCAAATTCAAGATGAAGTTCAAGAGCAGACGAGTTTGACAGTGCAGTATGTTATACTGCATATATAAACATACACAGGCACACGCACACAACAAAATATTATTACTTCCTTAGAATTCAAAAATAGTAAGCAGTCGTATGGTGGAGTCAAACTTATATTTACTCCACCTTTATGCAACCATTCTCATGAGCCACAAGCAGCAAATTATTCTCAGCAGCAAGAGCCAAAACAGAAGTCACGTTTTTTGATGTGTCCTCCCCCAAGACTGCCAAAGGACTGTGATCACTAAGCGACCATAAGTGGACAGTCCCATCCCAGCTTCCACTATAAAGAATGCCATTGCAAACTATTAGCGATGATACGACTGACTTGTGACCGCTCATAGTACATGACAGGGTATGATTCTGAAATAAAATAAATAAATTATTGACCAAAAACCGAAAAATAACTAGAGGAATTACAAAGGAATAATTGGACATTGCCTGCAGAGACCATGCTTTTATCAGTTTGTCTCCACTCCCGGTGTAGAGATATTCAGTTCCGGAAACAGCAAGGGCATGAATACCACTATAGCGCCAATCCTTTTGCTCGTGCAACTTCTTTAATGGTTTTTCATTAAAGGGAAAACTGGCTTCCCAGATGCATATAACACCTGCATTATCGCCACTTATGCACAATGGTTGTCCTCCGTCCACAAAAATGAGAGCCATAACTTTATGCTCATGACCTTTAAACGTATGTACTTGTGTAAAATCCTGAAACATTCCCAAAGTAGATTTATCGAGCAGGAAGAACCAATCTCAAATATAGATACATTAATACAAGACTGATTATACCTTCTCAAAAATGTTAAACTGGATTCATAATTATTGGTTCTATCAACATATGATATATTCCTACCTCCGTCCCATAAAGATATGTTTGCTTCTATTTTCAAACAGATCAAGAAAATGTTAATATTTTAGTAGGAAATATAATTTTTTCTTATATTTTTCCTAATATACCCCTACAGTAAATAATGTTTTATATACAATTAGTTTATATTTTTTGATAACAAGCAAGGTACATTAAATAGGGGCACATTAGAAAACTAAAAAATAAAAAATCTATACTTTCGATAAGGAAATTGACCTATAATATAGGACAAACGAAAAAGGAAACCAAGCATATCTTTATGGAACAGAGGTAGTATATTTTTTCAAACATTGAATCAGCCACATATTTCCCAAGAAGCAAAGTTCTCTCTCTCTCTCTGAAGGGGCAGTCCCAAGACGTGCCTCACCACCTTCCTGGATATTTATCATCAGACTATGACATGAACCACTTAAAATTGAATTGAAACATTAACACAGGAACAATATAGTAATGACCATGGACCTTCCCCATCTAGATACCCAATTGGTACTAACATTCAACTTAAATCTCTCTGGAGACCATGGGTTTGAATAACTAAAGATGCAAAGTAAAACAATGTGGGGCCCAACCCCCGTGGACTACAAGTAAGCTAACAACTGCAAGTGAATGAGCAAGATGGAGAAAGTCTGCAATCATTACACAACTAATAAAAAATTATTTTTAACCACATATAAGGTACGACTTTGCATCTTCATTTTAAGTATATCAGTAGAGCAGCTATAACATCAATAACTCAACAAAATATAGAATCACCAAAAAAATTTCTTAAAGCCATTATGTCATGAACGTGGTCTGGGTGTTTAAAATATGAAAGCACAAGAAAACTCGATCAGACTGATAAACGTAATCCTGAGAGGAGTTTGTTTCAAGCTATTTACCTGCAATGACCATACGTGGACTCTCTTATCAAATGAAGAGCTGAAAAGGAAACCCCCTAAACAAAAAGAACAGGTGGAAATCAGACTCTTGAGTTCGTTACTAGACAAAAATACCAACAACAATCTGCAAGAAACTCTTTAAAATTCTATAAGACAAACAAAGAAGACTAATAAAGATGTGGTTATGCATATCTTTCATGCAGAAAGACGAATATGTCAACTATTTATTGTGTACGTTCCTTCGACTAACTCTTTACACTTGTATGCATATCGAGAGGACACACATGTTTATTGTAAAAAATTAAAAACTACTTAATGTCTATAAATTGAAAGTACTTTAACTGATTCCAGCCAAACATAAAGAAAAAAGCTCTTGTGCAGGCAGAAAATGATCTCTGTGGGTAAATAAGTTCTAGCTAGTTTCAAGTAGATTTGAAATGATTGATAGCTAAAATGTAAAAAGTCATTGGATCTATGTGCAGGTCCATATTTATATCAACATCATAAGTTATGTCATTATTTTTGAAGTAACCAATTTGATGAATTCAGATAAATGTTGACAACAAACTACTGCTAATCTACCATTCTGATTTATAGTCCTTTTCAGTCATATTATCTGCTCACTTGGGCATTTTCTTGGATAAACATCAAGGATACAGGGAAATGAAGATTAACTAATTAAAACGGGGAGTATACAATAGCATGTAACATAATAACCAGAAAATGGAAAGCACTCAAGTCAGATGGGCAATTCATACCTCCAATGGCTAGGCCCGTGATACAATCTAGATGACCCTTCATATCAATACATTCGATATGGCCCCCAGACAGGCCCTCAACAACATCTCTGCTCACACCAGCTCTACCAATTTCATATTTCTGCTGCAACCCATCTATCTCTTCTTTGTTAGTGTCCTCTGCTATCCGACAGAGATCCCCTAGTAATACACAATGACCTGTTTTTTCTTTCTTTTCTTCATGTTTCAAAGTGACCCCAAAATCGAAGTTTGGTTTAAGAACCAACTCTCTCAGACATTTCCATAGTTCAGTAACAGGTGGGCGACTACTAATATCAAATTCCAGACATCTGCATAGTAAGTCCTTTTGAGGTTCATATTCCAAGCCCAATCTACATCCTAACAAAGTTTTAACATTCTCCATCCAATCTTTACATAAACTAACATAAGAATATACATTTCCATCATTTGCAGCATTTACTATAAAATCCACATAAATTGCCATTTCTTTAATAAAAGAACCGCCAATAATAAGAGAAATGAGTAAACAGGCTAACGACCAAACATCCGAACCAAACCCAACTTCATATATCGATTTTCCACAATCCAATTCAAACCCTTCCTTACAGAACAACTTTAGTAACATCTCCGGACTAATGAACACAAGATTTTCCAATACCTCAGTCTTCAAACTAACTTCCAAATCCTTGTGACCTCTTTGAATTGCCTTATTCACTCTCCTTCCCATACTCAAAACCTTACCCAAATCAACATAAACACGACCGAAGTCATTGAAGACAAAACAATTGACATCCAAGCAACCAATAATCAGCCCTTCGGAAATCAAACTAATTAAAATCTCACACATCTCCATACTGACTATCCCAAAACCACTTATTTTATCACTACTCAACCTCTCCTCCTCTTCATTATAAAAGAATTTTAACAAACCAGTTGAATTAATATTCTCGCAAACCATATAAACACAGCTATCATTATCATTGTACCAAAACCCATAAATTTTTCCTGCTCTACAAAGCCTCAAACTCAAGTTCAAGATCGAAGCCATATCAATTCTCTCTTTTTCTCCCATACCATACAAAACACTCATAATTCTCGACTCATAACTATAACTTAAAAACTTGGATTTCTCACTTCCATCCTTAAAAAACCCAACTTTAAGAAGACCCACCTTTTCTTCCTCTTTCAGAACACAACCCATTCCTGAATTACTCTCGAAGTACCCCAAAACTTTTCCATCAAATATTTCACCATAACTTTGGGAACTTGATTTTTCAACTAAAATAGTATCTTTCGGGATGATCCATTTTTTCCATTTGGAGTAAAACTCATAAGACCATGAATTTCTTACAAACTGTAGCGGGAGTGAGAGATTGTCACAGGGAGGAGGTGATCGTGAAATTACGGTTTCGGGCTTCACTGGAAGATCTTGAAGGATGGATGAAAGGTGAAGAAGATCAATGTTCTTGGGGAAGGAGACCGGGCTGTTTGAAAATTTCGAGAGGAGAGTGCAGACTGGGCAACGGAGAGCGTGAGGGAAGGGGTTAGGGAGCTGCTTGAGACAGGCTTCGCAGATGGAGTGGCCACAAGTAAGGACGCGTGGGACGGCGGAATCGGCAGCGTATGGCTGCAGACAAACTGGGCACTCCGGTGGCTCCACCTTTTCCATGGCGGTTGGCGGTGGAAGTCTATGGCCTATGTTTTTTTCATCAATAGCTTATTTGAATACGATGAAGGACGCTTGTTGAACTTAACTCTGTTCTGTTGGGAGATTTTTGAACTTTCTATATAGAAAAATGAAATAAAAAAGAGAGAAATTATAAACGACATTTGTCATGCTTGAATTATGTTAAAAAATGGTCACTATGCAACCATTGTAGCATATCGAGTCTTTAATTAAGCCTCTGTTTGGTACATATTCTGTTAAAATACATTATTTCAAAACTCATTTTCAACCACACATTTTTTAATAAAATAATATTTTACATCATATCAATAATTTTTCCTTACTTTTTAATCATATATTTCACATCATATCACTATTTAAAATACATTATTTTTTCAATAATATCTATCAAACATGCCTTAAGTTCATTACTAAAATCAAATAATTGACGAGGAAATGAACAAAGAAAAAAACCTAATATAAGAGAGATGAAAGAAAATGGATCATATTTGGAAAGTGTTTATAAATAATTTAAATTATAACTAAATAAAAATGAGTAACAAATAAGTAATATTATCTGTGGAATGTATAGATGAAAAGTGGATAAGTCATTCATAAATAATTTATAAACATGAGCCAAATTTATAGCTTTAGAGAAAAGGTCCCATTCCAAAAAAAATAGTAAAGGGCCTATTTACACAAATATAATGACTTGTTTACCTTTGTTGCAATTTCCCTAATATTTATTTTTCCCCCAAACCAATCTCGGAACTAGATTTATATCAGGAAAATCTTGTACTCAGTTCAACGCCCAGTGTCTCTCTTGCACCGTCGTCCAAAAATCAAGTTCATTTCGGTGAGTCTTGTACCTTTCTCTACTTTTACCGTTTACTCTTATGCGCTATTTGAGGATTTGGTGGATTTTTATTTTAGCTTTTTTTGTTTGTAGATTGTTTCTGATTGATGTGAACTTTAAACTGGGTTTTGGGGGATCTGTGGTAGGGAAAATAAAATTTAAATCTAGGATAAATTTTCATGTTAGATTTTCAATCATTCGAACAAATGCCGGATTTGATTTATTTGCAATTTCATTTATGACCATGTTCTTTTTGTGCAATTGGAGCCGCTTTTAGGGATGTATGTTAATTGTTATGTTGTCTGTCTCTAAAAGATTTAATTTTAGAGTTCACTGACTTTCATTCTAAAAGGTAAAACAATACACTAAACTTGGAAGAAAATTATTGAATCACGAATGGATGTTTAACTTCGTGCCATGTAGCATGCACATGCTCGACAAGGTTGAGCTGTTTGTAAGATTTCTAGCGAGCATTACGAACACACGAGGCTAGTTTGTGAAGGCAACTGGACTTTATCTTTTTACTTGATGGTAATGTAGGACATAACCTCCATTGGAAAAAGAAAGTTGCCATTTTTAAATTGACTGTAGTTGAACATGGATGAGTCTCTTGTTTCTCAAGTTCTTGGATTCAAAACCACACAAATGAGATACGCCTTTTGTGTGTTTACTGTTTACATTGGCATATGCAGTGGAATGAAATTTCTTGGAATATTACAGTTGGCTCCAATAGTTTGCAATGGTTTAATTACCAATAATTCATTGCTTGTTTGGAAATTAACTCCTTCTATTGTTCTAAAAGACTCGTATAAAGGGTAAAGTAGACTGTCTTATCTCCTAGTGTCAAACTTATTATGGGTACATGTAGTTAGGTACTTTTGTGCAATTTGATTCAGTTTTATGGTCTTGAGAGTTGAGATTTGAATTGCGTATTGATTCAACACAGGATCAATGCAAATTACCTGCCCAAAAGCTCTTGTAGNATTACAGTTGGCTCCAATAGTTTGCAATGGTTTAATTACCAATAATTAATTGCTTGTTAGGAAATTAACTCCTTCTATGTTCTTAAAGACTCGTATAAAGGGTAAAGTAGACTGTCTTATCTCCTAGTGTCAAACTTATTATGGGTACATGTAGTTAGGTACTTTTGTGCAATTTGATTCAGTTTTATGGTCTTGAGAGTTGAGATTTGAATTGCGTATTGATTCAACACAGGATCAATGCAAATTACCTGCCCAAAAGCTCTTGTAGCAATCTTACATAGTTGTTTTACTGAAAATCAACGTACTTCTATAGTTGATCCTACCCTGAAGATATACTTTGTTCTTAACATGTTTTTTTTAAAGATATGGAATGAAAGTATTCAGTTGTTTATGAAAATAATTTGGGCCAATTGAAATGCCTCTCTCTAGATTTGGGAGGCTAGGTTGCATAATGATTATTAATGTTCAGCAAGAATTTGTACACTTGATACCAATTGCTTCTACCTGTTTTTCTCTCATTCTGTAGCAAGTGACATAACGAATTCTTACTTTCTTCTTCTTCTTCTTCCTTTTTTTTTTCATTTTCCTTACTTTTGTCACATCAAGTCTCATGGCTGCACCTGGAAGTTCTATGCTATATTCTTTTCTTCTGTTCGTTGCCACTCTTTCTCTACAAGAAATGTATAGAGCAAAGTTAGCATCTTCGGAGTTATTTACTATTCTTGGAGGCTTCACCAGCTCTTTAATATTTCTCATGTTGCTGACGGTGAGAGAAGCTATCCTTTTAATGCCCTTCATTCTGTGCGTAGTCAATGCATGTATGTATGAGCAACGTTGTGCTATGTGCTTTAAATTTATATAATGTGTTGAATGATCATATGTATTATTGCTACATATTTAACCCACTCCTCTTTCCCCCTCTCTCCAATATCTGTGAATGTGACAACCCTCCCTCTGATATTACAGTTAAAGAATCGAGGTTAGTGTAAATTAGAGTGTCATAGAAACCTAAGTCCATTCAAGGACTAGTCTGAATTTTTTCCAATCAGCAGAAGAGACCACCTGCATTGGCAGGAAGCCTTCTACGGAAGCGAAAAAATTTGAGTTTCTCATTTCCCTTCATTTCTTGATTTCAAACAATCATATGCCATTGATGCTATAGTCCTTTAGATTGTATTTTTTTGTATAATTGCATTTACAAGAGCAAGATGATATCACCTTCTTTGGTACTTACTAACGTGATGTTTTTGGCAACTGAACAAAAAGTTGTAAATATCAAGTTTTTTCCTTCAATTTTTTGTTTTATTTTTCTTTAACATGATGGGGGAATAACACCATGAATCAAAATAATAAGTTCATGAACCAAATATACATTTGTCGGCTGCAAGGAGGAAAGATATGCCTATCGCTCCAGGTGTTTGAAGAAGTTTATCGAAGTTTGTGATGGGCAAAGTTATAATAAGTTGTTTGTATGTTCTGGCTAATTCCCTAAATGGTCATTAAACTTTTCTTAAAGTTCCTATGGGGTCGCTGAACTTTAAAACTACCCCCATCAGTCATTTAATTTTGAAAATTGGTGCCACATCCATGACTGAGTAAACGACGCTTGCAAAATTAGAAGGATTTGATGACAAATCTAACGGTATGGCTTACGTGGCAAGCATTTGGAAACTATAAATCAGATTTTTACATAAATCATGCTATAATTAGTTGGAAACTATAATAATCTAGTTCATAAAGTTTGTGAAATTCGGATTTCGAAAAACTCTACATTTGGATTAAACTACGCATTCAACGGTCATTAAAAAAATACCCAAATATGTATTGGACAATTTGTGAATAAAAGACGGTCACATACCTGTAGACTCATGCTCAACGTTAGGGGTGGTCAAAACCCGACCAAACCCGTCAAAACTGCCCAAACCGAACCAACCCGACGAGTTTAGGTCCCTTTTTTGTTGTTTTTACACGGGTTGGGTGGGTTGGTTGCGTAGGCGGGTTGGGTTGGGTTATGTGTTAACTCATGAAAATCGAATAAACCCGCCCAGCCCAACCCGACTATATTGATGAACTTTACAAGTGTTATGATGTTGTTTGGACGAAATTGAGTCACTTTGTTTCTTCACACAACCTCTAAGAGCTACAATATTCAGAAAAACTTAGATTAAAATGTCAGTTCTTGTTGGGAAAATTTTGTGCAAATGTGCAATAGTTGAAAAGTTTGAGGAAATCTCAGAAGCGCCAACACGCTGCCGGCAACAATGTATCGGTGTTTGATATATATCGGACACCGATACGCCTCCGACACGTCGCCGACGTGTGTCGGAGGCTTGGGTGGGCAGCCGGCAAAACTAAGAAGGTAGAAAAAGAGAGAAAAAAGAAGGAAAAAGAGAAGGCAGTCGGCGGAACTCTGGCAGCTTGGGAAAGGAAGAAGGAAGAAGAAAGAAAATGAAAGAAAAAAGAGAGAACAGAGAAGAGGAAGAGACCTGGAAGAGGAAGAAACTCCGGCAGAGAAGAGGAAGAGACTCTAGCAGCTTGTGGTATGTGGAATTGTCACGTTTGTCCGGGGAAAGGTGTGTTTGGAGGAAAGGAAAGAAAACAATTAAGGAAAGAAAAGGGTGCACAGGAATAGATGACTGAAATGAAAAGTCATCATTTTAGAAGTAAAAATTTCAAATTGTAGGGCCCACCGCTGTAAAGTCATAATTTTACCATCTTGTATACGTTTTGTGTAGCTGTATTTTTTTAATAAAACAATATATAATATTTTGTTTGAATTTAATGTCAAGTTTGATTTCTATTTATCATTATATATATGATTCAATAAGTATAAAAAATTATTACNTTGTTTGAATTTAATGTCAAGTTTGATTTCTATTTATCATTATATATATTATTCAATAAGTATAAAAAATTATTACTTTAGATTATAAAATTAAAATAACCTAAAAAAAAAAATTGTAATCAACGTGTTGGAGACGTATCGTGTCGAAACTTTTTAAAAAAATCGCGTGTCGGCGTGTCCGACACGTATCGTGTCGAACACTCGTGTCCATGTCCGTGTTGGTGCTTCTTAGGAGGAAATCATACAAAAATTATATACTACTAATTAACTAGGTTTTATAAACGCAAACGCTATACACGAGAAGTCTTGAATATGACACAAGATATGGAAACTTTTAGAATAATATTATAAGATTTGGATAGAATGCATTTTATAAAAAATAGTATAAGCAAATACACATTCAACACAAAAACATTTTAATTGCCAAAAATATTTTTTGGCTTCATATAATTTAATATCAATCTGTCCATGTAACATTTCCGAGTATGAAGTGCCAAAAATATTTAGATTTTTTAGTCATTGCAACTATAGAGACCTAATATTATATAAGCTATGAGTCAATTATAAATCCGTCCAACTCGACCTTTTTACTTTAATCTTTGTTGACAAGTTGTCCCAAACCGTCCAACCCAATCCAACCGATACTAGGTTGGGTTGGGTTTCAATCTTTACACGAGTTGGGTTGGGTTTGGATTGAAGCAAAAATCGACCCAACCCATGCCCACCCTTACTCAATGTCACCAAGTCCTTTCAATTTTTTGATAAGTACCAAGTCCTTTCAATTTGCAAGCGTCGTTTACTCAGTGATGGATGGAGTACCAATTTTCAAAATTAGATGACAGTACCAAGTCCTTTCAATTTGCAAGCGTCGTTTACGCAGTGATGGATGGAGTACGAATTTTCAAAATTAGATGACTAACGGGGACAATTTTTAAGTTCAGTAACCCCGTGGGAACTTTGAGGAAAGTTCGGTGACCATTTAGGGAATTAACACCTGTATGTTCTGGTGATGAACAATTGTGGCTATGGATCCATTAAAATGATCATTATTTTAAAGTGGAAGCTACTTGACAATGAATTGATGATCCATTCTGACATTTCCCATTTGTATGTACACATTTCTTTAATATTTAAAAAACTCACAGAGAAAATAAAAATAACTTAAGTGTGAGAATCAAGAATTAGACGTTTTCATTTTTCTCTCTTAATTAGCCACCCTCATCAAAACTTTGGCTCTATTTCACCATATGCACAAAAAAAATTGGTAAAAGAAAACATTCAGCGTGACTCCCTGGAATTCAACGTTGGGGCAGGTTTATCTCTTCTAGCTACCCGTTTCAAGTGTTTCCTTTTGCTTTTGTTATTATACATATATAAAATCATGACCTTTAGGATAACACACATATATGCATATTGGCTTGCTAATATATGTATTTGTCCAATAAAAATGTTAAATTATGTGCTATTAAAAAATATATTCAATAATCCACATTTGAACTGGAAAATCATAATATAAGATGCTGTATTGATTAATGAACATATTGACAGAACCACCATATATCATTGTTCATGTAATATACTTTCCATGAGGTATGTTATCAATGCAATACATGTTAGTTGCAATAATTAATGGCTGTGAGCTCCGTCATTTTCTGCATCTCCACAATTATTTTCTTTACGTTATCAATGCAATACCTAGGAGGTATGGTACATGTCTCATACTGTTCTCATGTTATGGTCACTATACATATTTAATATGCAAGATTGGTAACGTCTGTGGAGATAACTGTGATACTTACCTCTGACTTGGGTGTTATGTCTCCAGTTCATTGGAAATTATCAGGAAACATGTGGTATCAGGACTGGTTGGGGTGCTGGTAAGTGCCATCTTGTTTTGTGGCTAATTCATGAAAAGTATATCAAGTATCTTTCTTTCTTTTTTTTCCTTTCCCTTTTATCCACTATAAGCTCCTTGATTATCTGAATATTCTTCTCTCTCTTTATTCAATGTAATGCAATTATAAATGGACACCTCTGTTAACTCTGTGAACTGCATAATATCTTTTGCCAGTCTATGGAACTCAGCCTCTTGCGAATATCTGATGTTACTTTTTTTTGGAGGAAATATCTTTGTTCATTTAATTATCCCAGATTTTGGAGAATAATCCTAAGCTAGAACTTGGAATTTAAGACTTGCACTTGGATACAATAACTCTGGAGCATTGGTAAACAATGGGGGTCACTTCACATTTTTCCTCTCTTGGGGGAATAGTCAAGTGGGGGAAGGCTAAAGCTGCATCTATCTTCTCTGGCATTCATTTGGTCAATATGAAATGGGGATGGGTGCAAGAATTTTAATATATAATTAATTAAATACTTGGCCAATTTCATCATTTATGTAATGAAATCGTGTGAACTGTCATGAATAATGGGTTGGATGTGTTCATTACTGAGGAGAAAGGATTGGATCCATTCAAAATTAACTTACCTTTCAATTTACAATCACCCATTACAGAATGCTGTAATCTGAATACATTGACTTTCCAAGACGTTAAAGGTGAGGTTCCAGTGGCCCTCTCCTTTTTTGTTCGTTCCACATTTTTTTTATATGGGAACAGATTGCTGAATTGAATGTTTCTAAAACTACTGAATCAAAAATCTGATATTCATTCTGAGACATGGTTACCATTTTCCATCTGGTTCCATCAGTTATTACTGAATGGAGATATTCTAAAACCAAGTGTGGGATAGCCCCACTAATATTGGTGGTTGGACAAGGGGGCAAAGACGAAAAATGAACCCATTCATTCTCATCAAACCTTGCTATATTATATACTTCTTCTTGTCATCTTCGAGAGCACAAATTTGTCTCTTCTTATCCAAAAGAGAAGAAATCACACCAGAGTTAAGCTCTAGCTTATCAAATTCCTGAGTGATTACATAAATTCCAACTTTGATTTCTCTATTTCCTGAATTTTCATTAGAAAGCTACTCTATTTTTCTCATTTCTGTCAGGAACTATGGCGTCAGCTTGTGTATATGACATTGCATCTATAGCCATGAATGCAACCAAAAAGTTTGCTGAAATTTAACATTAGAGGGTTGACGTGCGTAAATCTGGTTAAAAACTGCAATATTGTTCTATTAAATAAATGTAATAGTGGGTTTCTTTTAGTGAGCTTAAATTTGAATAACATGTAAACTTGTACTCTGCAAATTTTTTTAATAAATAATGAATTAGTATGTGTGGATTATTCAGTAAACTTATTGTCATCCTTTCATGATGCAGTTATACTTGCAGAAGCAGTTGCCCTTATAGCTGCTAGCACTGTTCATCGAGTTTGTATCACAACCTGGTAATGCAATAATGTTTCTGATATTTTTATATTTTGAACTGAAAGTCCATTTTCAAATGTCGATTTCATTTGAGTTCATAAAGTGATGGGCATTTTACAATGCAATACAAGTGGTCCCATTTAGAAAACATGAATACTAGAAAGTTTTAAGTATGACCAAAGGAGTCCTTACTCGTTGATCTCTAGTTTGGTTAAATTGAAAGATTCCCTGATCTCAAAAAATGTACAAGATTAACCTACAAGAAGAAAATCATATTTTACTCTGTTTGATGCACTTTATCTATTGTCCCAGCCCCTACCTATAAAGACTTTGTAAAGAAGAAGGGTCTAAGTTTCCAAAAAGTTAAAAGGGTAAATTTGTGCATTCAGTGCGTAGTTAGAATCAGAACTGACATCTTTGTTCTGCACCGATGAATTTGGAGTTTCGATCCATTTTTTCATCCCATCCATACGTGTCCTTACTATATGTAACATAATAAAACGATGTTACTCTGTCCAATCCATCTCGTGTGAGGCATCATCCCTTTTTGGTGTGGCTCCCACTTCTCTGAAGGGACCAGTCTCATAATCCAGGGAAATGCTACACTATTGCTCTAGTGACTGGCCGTGAGATATTTATATATGTAATAAACTGCCTCACTATGGAATCTTGGGACTGGCCATGAATTTCGATTTTATTTAGTAAACTAAAATTCATGTACCTTCTCAAATCATACTGTATTCAAATTTACTGATGAAAACACTTCAATACCATCAACAATTTAATTGCTACGGGGATTTTTGTAAACACTGATTAAGTTTTTTTGGACATGCCAATGCAGCTTTCTGTTTTCTGCTGGGATATTATATGAGATCAGCAAACTTTCAGGAATGATGCTTTCCAAGAGTGAATCGAAAAGTAAAAGGTATTGAGTCGAAATTGGTGCCTTAGAGGACCTGCTTTCAGAAACTCCTCTTTTTCCCCTTCTCTTGGGGCTTTCATTAGGTACTTGCGAAACTGAGATGCATTGGTTAGTGGTATTTATTGAAAAGTTTGAATATGGATGGTTGAATTTTGTGACTTTTACTAAGTTGCCTTATTAATATATAAATATAAACTCGTATGGCTTCTTTCTTTTTCAAATATGATATACTTCAATAAGACTTGTATACATTATTCGCATCGTGAAAAATATATAAAATTGATACAAATGTAAATTTGTTTGAATATTTTGCTATGATGTTAGGCACGACTCACTTTATACCTCGTTGTTTGCTAAGAAATTGAAAATTTTAGATTCATTATGATATTTGACACCGACAAACTTTATATTTTTTACTTTGTCCTACATTAATGATGATGCAGCACATAGAGAAAGATGCTTTCTTCCCCTAGAATCTTGGAGATTCATCCTTTATTGCTGTTTTCCATTAATTTATATATGATGAATTAAAGTTGTGAGACAATTTCATCTGGTCTCTCCTTTTTGTTTTGAAGTGGAAATCTAATTAGGGCCGTGCTTGTAGGATATTGCTCGGCATGGTTCATGTTTGTTAACTACCTTATATAAAAGCTTAAACTGATAGAATGTGATTCACTTCAAGGTTAAAATTGTTTCATTTTTTGATCAATGCACAATTTTTATAAATTGTCGTATTATCGTTATGGAGTAGCATATCGACAAAAGATACTTTCTTTCCTAGAATCTTGGAGATGCGTCCCTATTGCTCCAGTTACATGGACAAATTTTACGCCTCTACTTATATCGTCGCGGTATTGTACTTCCTTCCCTAGAATCTTGGAGATACATCCCCAGTGCTCCACATAAAATTATTAGGTGATGAATATGAGTTGTGGGACTACCTTTTCTTTTCTCTTTTCTATTTTGCATTTTATTTTTCTTTTTTGAAGTGAAATTTTAATTGGGCTAGGCAAAGTTGGAAGGAACTCGCTAGAAATATCATTGCTGTGTATTTCCAACCCAATCATGCCACGTCTATATACCTTTACAAAAAGAAACTTAGATAAAGTCTATTTGTTCATCCGATGATTGGACTTAGCTCCACCGCCAGTGGCGGCGGCGGCCATCTTTTTCTGACCACTGCCACTATTTACATAGCCACTCTAATTAGATATTCATAATTATAACGTGACTGAAAAATCAGTATATCAAAGCTCCATCGAAAGTGCTTTTTCCCCTAACGCACCATTGATGAACAAGAGGAAGAAATGGATATTTTAAGTTTACTTGTCCCATCCATGCTTTGGATGCATTTGAACAACAATTTTGTATTTACTTCGTCTTTATTGATCATTATCTCGCAAAAGTAAAACATCGTACCAACAAGGTCTAAAAAGAGTTTAAAGAATCTTCTTCTTTATCATCTTCTGAAAAGTTACACTACTTAGTTTGGGGGGGGTGGGGGCGGGTTCTATGCATTAGGTTGTATAAACTTTAATCCGATTGCAATATAATCAAACACCCAAAGTGAGAAAATATCGTTTGGAATTGACAGTGATCTAATCGCTTTAGTTTCATGTTTATCAAACGCATTAGGGATTCAATCCCTAATTGTGCTATGCTGTTGAGAACTTTTGAGAAGGGATAGTGCACCTTGATAGATGAGGGATCTTGTTGCTCGACTCACTTTATCGTAAACTCACTCCCACTTGAATATAGACTTATCCTGGTCTATCACACGCATAGGAGAGAAATGATCGAATAACGAAAGTCTAACCAATTATGTGCAAGAAGAACGAATTGAAGTGTCATTTGTTGACTCATAGAAAGAAGCTAGTCAAGAAGGGAAAAAGAGCGCCTCTTAAACTAAAGGAAACCGATGGAAAGTATCCTAGTCCCATCTATTTGAGAAACTTGTTCTTAGAATTGATTTGGTTTTTGAACTTGAAATAACCTTTTATTTCATCCCTTCGGCGAAACTTTGTTTGATTTTCAATACTTCTATCCTTTTTAGTTTTATTTTTCATTGATACTTTATTGCATCCTTCCTTATTTTGATACTTAAATATCGACATAGTAATGGATTAATTTCCTAATCATTCAAGTAATAAAGAGTGCATGTTCCCTAAATCTTGTTCGATAAAGTGAGCAAAACAATACTTACAAAAAAGAAAGAAAGAGAGTAGTCATATGTCCATTATTCAATTTAATTTTGTATCCATATTGTGTACCAAACTTGAAAAGAAAGCACAGAATAACAGTAAGAACACTTGAATCTTCCTTCCTTCCATGCATCCTTCTGTAATTAATTCTTGCTCAGTTTCCCATCAGCAGAAATTTCTTGATTATCAAAACTTCGAGAAGTGTGAAATATTGTTAGAAGTTTAAACGTAGAATAATTGTGATTATGACTTCAATTTACATGGTGTTAGGCGATGGGCTAAATGAAAGGTGAACTTATCATTTAATGTCACATTATCGTCACATAAACCGAAACTAAATAGCATTACTCTTGAATGTATTGAAAAAAAAAACCAGTTTTTGAGTGTGGTCCTTTCAGCCATTTAGACACACTAGGATCATTTTTCAATCCTGCTTCTATTTCAAGAATGAAGTAAACTAAGCTATTTTACAAAAAAATATTGGCATTCAGAATCCCAAATTACCTGCCAAAGATTAAATAATTGCCATAGTTGCAAAGAACAAGGGATTTCATGAAAAACAACAACCCGATCATGTTATGTCATAAATAACTTTATAAAGTCTAAGCTCTTCGCATCTGGCAATGTTTTGAGAGGACTTTATGCAACCTTTTAACCAAGAATAAAATTATTTATGGACAATTGATCAACCATGCCATTTTAACTTCGGTCTTACTGGTGGCTACTCGCTAAATATATTGAACATTTTTATTGCATCGACTGGCAGAGTGACGTCAACTATTTTGATTTTAGCTGTGGAAAATCGGTGAGGTAACTTGGTACCTTTTATAAGCTCCATTGAAAGTGCGTTTTGTTAGGAATTTACTTATACATGCACAACGAAATTTAAAATAATTTTGATCTTTTTTTGTGTTTAGATAAAAACTGTTATTAAAATTATACTTTTAATAAATTCCGTAATTTTCTTTGACAATCTTGAAACACTTATATAGTTGTTCATGTGGAATCTCCCTAGCAGATCACCAATATTTTGTTCTTATAACAAAAAATTCATGTGTCCATTTAAATGTCACTACATTTTAGCTTGTGAGATTTGCTACGCACTTCACAAATGAGAAATACTACACGTGTTGATCTAATCGTAATAACAATATTCGTCTCGCATCATTACTTACGATCACAGATAATTTAAGATTCGGCAATGTGTAATTTGTTTTTCACTATCACAACTTCTTGTGATTAACAAGTTATTAAAACTTGAATATATGAACTCTATTAATTTAATTTTTTTCATAATAATAACTCAATTAAATAATAGATCTGCAATAAATAAAATGCATTACTCATATTAAAAGTATTTGTCCCCAAAATCGACTGAAATTAGGACATAACACTTGCACCTTTTCCCTTAATGCACCACTGATGGAAAGAAGACGACGTGATTACAAGTCATTCGTATTTTTTTTCACTTTTTTTTTTCTCTTAAGCATTATTAATCTACCCTATCAAACATGACATCCGAGATTAATTTACCATCTTAGAAGTTAAACATGGTCCACATTTCACATAGTAAAATCAAACTTTGCTTCCATTTTACCACTCCCCAACCTCTTTTTCACAAAAAATGGAAACTTATATTAAAAAAATCAGCAATTCATTGAATTGAATCCGTCCTTATTGTCTTCATTGTCTGCTAATGCCAAACCAAAAATCACGGGTCTCTAAAGAACAATTGAAAGACAATTATTTCAAGCCAAGGCAATTGATAAATTTCTGGCAGGTAGGATTCTGAATACCAATAATTTACGTAAAAGATAGTTTATTCTTTATCCTAGAGATTTTTAGCAAGCTCGGAAAAGAACATTACAGTACAGAAATTGGAATAGAAGGGTCTTTTATCGTCTTTTTTTATTTTCCTTCTCGTCCGTGTTAATTCATGTCTCTTAACGCCGATGGACGCGTTGATCCACATATATTTCTTGTTTTTATTGTTGTGTCGAGAGTTATTCGATGAAGAGTGAAGAAAGTGAGACATTTTTTATGTATTGTACATGCTTGTACAAGACTATAGCTTTTCTATTTCAACAGAGATATTGAAAAAGATACAACTACAAATTTGGGAACAATGTGGAATTTTGAATTCCACATAGTTACATACAAGCCTAACTTATTCAGAATACAATCAGAAATTACATTAAAGATAGAAAACAATGGCATCAAGTGCACCATTTTAGGCCTTCAATGAACAAGAACTGTCCTAAATTCTTTGATCTCTTTCTTGTTTGGGAAACCCCTTTTGCTAATTATGATGTATAAGTGATCAAAATTAGGACATATTCTTAAAAGGCTTATACACTTTGAGATCAGAAACAACTCCAGCAAAAGATCCAGCAGCAGCAGCAATGGAGATGATAAGGCAAGCAACGCTAAGAATTTGTAGGCTGAGCCATCTTGCACTCCTTTTTGGGATCTTCTTTTGGACTATGTACATTTCGACTGGGAAGTATACGGTAAGAGGCCAGAACCCAAACGCACCTAAAATTCCGACAACATCATTGAAGAATGGCATAAGCATGGAAATAATAGTCGTAATGACCACAAAAATTGTTCTCCACACGAGTCGGAAGAGATTGAGTTTCAAAGGCTTGGATCCGGGGATTGGGACTTGGATTTCTTTGGTGATGAATTTGCTATTTGGGAACCATTCTAATGCAGTTTTTTCAACAAAGGCGAAAAGAGGTTGGCAAAAAACTTGGTAAGCACCTACAAGGTGGATAACAATGGCGGCGTTGGCTATGTCGAGAAGCCA